ACACCTAGCACAGGACATCTAACACAGGACATCTAACACAGGACATCTAACACAGGACACCTAACACAGGACACCTAACACAGGACATCTAACACAGGACACCTAACACAGGACATCTAACACAGGACACCTAGCTCAGGTACATCTAACACAGGACATCTAGTACAGGACATCTAACACAGGACACCTAGCACAGGACATCTAACACAGGACATCTAACACAGTACATCTAACACAGGACATCTAACACAGGTACATCTAATACAGGACATCTACCACAGGTACATCTAACACAGGACATCTAACACAGGACATCTAACACGGGTACATCTAAAACAGGATATCTACCACAGGTACATCTAAAACAGGTCATCTAACACAGGACACCTAACACAGGACATCTACCACAGGACACCTAACACAGGACATCTACCACAGGTACATCTAACACAGGACATCTACCACAGGTACATCTAAAACAGGATATCTAACACAGGACACCTAACACAGGTACATCTAACACAGGACATCTACCACAGGTACATCTAACACAGGGCATCTACCACAGGTACATCTAACACAGGACATCTACCCCACAGGAATAACGGTGCCAACGGCTCCCAACAGCCAAGACCTGACCAACGTGACCTGGTCCAGACCACCTCCACTCGACCACCAAACACTTCCAGAGTTATCAGTCCATGCACAACATTGCACCCCGAGCGCTCGCAACTTTACGATGTCGTTCGTTAAAAAGCCGTCTGGGACGCGTAAACCCGTGCAACAAGCATAAGCAACATGAACAGAGGTGTTGACAGGTAGGTTATATGGAGTTAGGAACAATGACACACACACAGAGGGCGAAGGTAGCAATGGTCTTACACTCAACAGGTAGCAGAAGAGCCGGTCGAGCGACGCGTCGCGACCCACCACCGTCCTAAGCCCGACTGACCCGCCGACGTGATCCTTCAGCCAGCCAGGTGTTGGGTGCTGCTGCCGCTGCTACCGCTGCTGCCGCTGCTGCTGTTGTTGCTGCTGCTGCTGCCGCTACCGCTGCTGCTGTTGTTGTTGCTGCTGCTGCTGCTGCCGCTGCTGCTGCCGCTGCTACCGCTGCCGCTGCTGCTGCTGCTGCTGCTGCTGCTGCTGCTGCTGCCGCTGCTGCTGCCGCTGCTGCTGTTGTTGCTGCTGCTGCTGCTGCTGCCGCTGCTGCTGCTGCTGCTGTTGTTGCTGCTGCTGCCGCTGCTGCTGTTGTTGCCGCTGCTGCTGCCGCTGCTGCTGCTGCCGCTACCGCTGCTGCTGCTGCTGCTGCTGCCACCGCTGCTACCGCTGCCGCTGCTGCTGCCCGCCAGGCGTCACACAACCAATTTTACACTAGGCCTCCTGAGTTTCTCAGTCTATGTGAGGTTCAGGATTTACTCAGGCCAGTAAGCCTCGCCGCTAGTGTTTTCAAACCATGGCTAGGTTAGGTTAGGCTAATGATTTACCCCCTGCTAGCTATGGCCTGGCCACGAGACGTGTCCTAACCACGGCCGGCTAGCTATGAGCCTATTGATTTATTCACGCAAGTGAGCCTCGCCCCGAGGCTCTTATCACCTATGGCTGTAGATAAGAGGCTACAGGTATATTTATGCTAACTAGTTGTGTTGGGTGATGACGTTGGGGTGTGGTGTAGCAGGGGGGGGGTGTTGTTGGGGAGGGGGGCTTGCAAGATATGGGGGTGTTGTGGTGTGGGGGTGGTTGTGGTGTGGGGGTGGTTGTGGTTACGGTGTTAGTCATACAGAGTCATGTGATCAGTAGTCTGCACTGACAGACTCCGGGTGCATTATGAGGATATCATCAACACAAGAGTGAATACGGCAGCAGTGGTACCATAAGTCCCCATCTCGCAGGATCCCCTCATGAACACGTAACTCTACGGATACCTGAACACATTTTTCAGTTAGGCCAGCACAGTACACAGTCACTTGCTGCACAAGACCCCATCCAACCAGACCTGATGTGTGCTCTGGTGACCTGATCACACAGGGACACTCCAGTACACCACAGATCCATAACCCATCTACACCCAGCACGTTCTCTCTCTCTTGGCCATCCGTAAACAAAACTGTTTACCTAACCAGAAGCGCACGAACCCAAGCAACCCCACCTAACCATCCAGGAGCCAGATTCACGAAGCAGTTACGCAAGTACTTACGAACGTGTACATCATTCCTCAATATTTGACGGCTTTGGTTGCATTTATTAAACAGTTTACAAGCATAAAAACTTGCCAATGAACAGTTGTTATTGTTATGAACAGCCTCCTGGTGCTTCGGAGCTCATTAACTGTTTAATAATTATAACCAAAGCCCCTTAAGATTGAGAAAAGATAGACAGGTTCGTAAGTGCTTGCGTAACTGCTTCTTGAATATGGCCCCCAGGCCGATGCATAGAAAACGCTACATCATCATCAAAGACTCCGAATATTCGAATATCATGTTACTTAACCGAGTGTGGGTTCTGTAGCACAGTGGTCTACGTCGCCGTCTCACACCCCAAAGGATACTGGATTCATCCCCCGGACGTGACAGACAGTTAAGTACGTTTCCTGTCAACTTGACGTCTGTCTTCACCAGCAGTAAAAACCAAGATTTCTCAAATATTACTGAAGGTAAACTCCAGTTTTAAACTGAGATTTAAAATATATTATTACGGTGTTATCGGAAAGGGAAAAGTGAAGATAATTGCACATAACAGAAGTTGCAAAATACACTCGTTTGGTGAGGAAATAAGACCTAAACAACCCAAGACCTGCCTAGTCCAACCTGACATAACTCCAAGAGGTGTGCTGCAATAACTGAGCTAATTTCACCGAGTAGTCTTCGTGACACCAGGTGCTGAAAATTTTGATATCATTATGAACTCAACAAAATAATTATGTAACTTATTCGTTTTAATGATTAGAAACCATTTCCATTTTATGTATTGACGAGTCACAGCTAAATGAAAATGTTATTTTATTAACTTTGAAACTACTACATTTCTTTTAAAACAACACTTGTATTCGTTGGTTTTCACTGTTAATGGCGTCACTCAGTCAGTTCCATGGTAGATTAACTTATAAACTGACGTAATATTGAGAAATCTATCAATCTTCATGCTATTTTGGCCAATATTCACTTGTAATCTAATAACCATTTTCGAATTTCGAGTAATGTGGACGGGGCATGCCGAGGGAGAGAGAAAAAGAGAGAATTCGTCCTTCACCTATGCCCCTGTTACCTAGCAGTAAAATAGGTACCTGGGTGTTAGTCAGCTGTCACGGGCTGCTTCCTGGGGGTGGAGGCCTGGTCGAAGACCGGGCCGCGGGGACACTAAAAGCCCCGAAATCATCTCAAGAAGATTCACTACGGCAGACGGCAGTAAGACTTGTCCTCAATATGGCTGAATCTACGAGTCACTCATAGTGGTGCCAGCGTACCACAGGGAAGTGTGCTTGGCCCAATCTTGGTGGCATGTCTACATCAATGATCTCTTACACCTCGTTAGTGAAGAAATATAAAGTGACGCGAGGATTATTAATCACCAACTTTCAGCAATATCTTCTTAGGAAAGGCGATGGCAGGTTACATTTGCGGCTGAGAAACCTCAGGCAATGATGCAACAATACACCATGATCTTGATGGTCGGACACACATACGAGTGAGTGCTGAGACCCTAGTGCTTAGTGATCACGTCAACATATTGGGGACGAAGTTAGAGTCTTCAATGGCCATGATATGTCACTTGCTAAACCAAGGCAGCCAGAAAAGTCTCAGACCTAGGGCTCGTCTCAGACCCTCTTTAGAGCAGGGGTTGTGAAACCTTATGTAGAGAACAAGTTCGCTTCCTCTTAGAGTATGCACCCCCCACCCCCCGCCAGGACTGCCTGGTCCTCATTATTCATAACAATTTTGGACAAGGTGGAGAACCATGCAAGACTCGTCTTTAGTCTTGACCACGTCTGGTTAGACGTGGACTTACTGTTACGTATAGCCAGTATTTCCAAAGTTGCTCACCTGCCCCAACTTGGTGGACAAGAAGACGTTGGTACCTGTGACACAAGGTGTCACCCTCACCCAACAGCCTCACGAAGGAAATGTCATTCTCAAGAACATGAGATCATCCGCAATCATTCAACACTTAAGACTGACAGGCGTCTGGAACCTCTTCACACAACATGACGATAAGTGTGAGATCACCTCAACTGATCACAAAAAGGCTCTGGCACACACCTGGCTCCTGGCTCATCCTGTTCCTTATATGATAGTTACTTAACATTAAAGTTGGTTTATCCCTATTGAATACAAATAATAATGTTATGAAATAAATGGATTTCCATAGGGGTCGGTTTTAGATAAACTGATGCAGGATAACACCTCTTGCTTGCAGTTTCACTACGAACATCAGTGACACTTCTAATGAACCCTAGACTTAGTTTAAAAGAAAAAGGGAGGGAGGCAGGGAGGGAAGGGATGGAGGGGAGGGAAGGGATGGAGGGGAAGGAAGGGATGAAGGGGAAGGAGGAGGGACGAAGGGGAGAGAGAGAGAGAGAGAGAGAGTCTAGAGCAAGATCTCTGAGATTCCCCCACCTCGTTCACCGCCTCAGCCATTAGTTACAGTAACCTAGTTAAGGCAGAGCAGCAGCAGCAGGAGGAGCAGCGGGTGAAGCGGGTGAGGGTGGTGGGGGCCGGGAGCTGGCCCCGGACACAGCCCCCGAGGGCCACGGTTCATGGAGCCCAACAGTTGGCACAGTCCGCTCACAACCCAACCCTCCCGGGTTCCATTCACTCGGTAGTACACACACGTCTCTACATTGATTCTTTTCACCTGATGCCTCTGTTCCCCCCTAAAGAGGAATAGGTAGAGGAACAGTAGAGGCGAGGGTGCACCCCGTGGGTAAGGGTGCACCCGTGGGTAAAGGTGCACATAACCACTACTGGAATCCTTTGAGAGTAACCCAGCGGAAAATAGGATACGAGATGGAGCAGCTGAGGCAGCGGTGCCACTGTGGGCAGCTGGTGGCACCGTTGCTGGTGCCAACAGTGCCCCTGTTGGCAGCTGAGGGTAGCCTTCTCTTCCTATAGCCTTCTCTCCCCCTATAGCCTCTTCACCCCCCTATAGCCTTCTCTCTCCACCTCTCTTACTATTCAACATGACAACGTATATGCACACAAAAGGTGGTCCACACACATATAAACCTCTACATCAAGACCACCACACACACACACACGAACACAAACACATTACGCCACAAAGTTCACTACCCATCAACAAACAGAATACAAGTGGAGGAAAAGGAGAATGTGGGAAGAGAGTGGGGGAAAGGGGAGAGGGGAGATAGGGAGAGGGGAGATGGGGAAGAAGAGTGGAGGGAGGACAGCGGCGGGCGCCACCAATCATACTAAATATGGAGCATCACAGCTCCTCCCGATTTTCTCAATAATAATAATAATAATATTTTTTGTCGGGGTCTGTATATATTTCCATGTTTGGTTAGGCTTATATCGCGTGACCCCTCCAGGTCCAACTACTGACCCTCCCCCCCCCCCCAGGATGTAACCGCCACAACAGCTGACTCTCGGGTACCTCCTTACTGCTAGGTGAACAGAGGCATTAGGTGATAGAAAACGTGCCCAACCATTTCTGTCCCTCCCGGGAATCTCGACTGTCAGTTGAAAAAGAACCAACTGTACTATCTAAATATTTCATCAATATGGAATCCGAGGTTTTGCTCCGAACTATGTTCCATCATATCTTACTGACAGACACCAATATGTAGCCATCAATGGCATAACCTCCTCCACTCTACCATTAACTGTAGGAGTGCCACAACACAGCATCTTAGGACCTCTTCTATTCCTTATATACATCAGTGATTTGCCAAATGTCTCTAATATTTCTTAAACCTATACTATTGATGATATTACCTAAATCTATTCATACCCCCAACCACCACAGATATACTAAATAGTATTGTAACGAATTAAAAAAAAAAAGTCCACTCATGAATGTCAACCAACAAACTCACACTAATCATAGAAAAGACAGTCCCTTGCACTATTTACATGTACAAAACCTTGTTCCTAAATGCTAATCTTGATCTGAAACTCTTCCTTCTTAGGTGTAATAGAACCCATGAGCACCACACCAGAAATAGATATATCTTCGATATCCCCAGAGTCAGACTAAATCTGTGTAAACACTCAAACACCCCATGCAAATAAAATGACCCATTCTATGGTATTCGCTCCCTAATGAATTTAAAAATCGTCTAAATCGTCGACAAAAAATATAATACTTTTTTATTGTAGAGTTATAATTTTATATAATATATAAATAAATAAATAGTCTTTTATAGCACAATTGGTTCTAAAACTGTGCCACAACAATCACAAAAATTGTGCAAGTTAGGGGGAATATTAAATCATGAAAGAAAATGGCTGGTTAACAGGGTCCCATCTTCTGCAGTATTATCTTGGGTGACTATTATAATCACAACAGTCGGCCCTCGCCGGAGCAATCCCCACTAAGACACGCTGATACTTAGCGTATAGTATACCCACGTCGTCACCCCCTTCCAGTCCTCAACGCCGTCACCTCTTCCAGTCCCTCAACGCCGTCACCCACTTCCAGCCCTCAACGCCGTCACCTCTTCCAGTCCCTCAACGCCGTCACCCCCTTCCAGTCCCTCAACGCCGTCACCCCCTTCCAGTCCCTCAACGCCATCACCCCCTTCCAGTCCCTCAACGCCGTCACCCCCTTCCAGCCCTCAACGCCGTCACCCCCTTCCAGTCCCTCAACGCCGTCACCCTTCCAGCCCTCAACGCCGTCACCCCTTCCAGCCCTCAACACCGTCACCCCTTCCAGCCCTCAACGCCGTCACCCCTTCCAGCCCTCAACGCCGTCACCCCTTCCAGCCCTCAACGCCGTCACCCCTTCCAGTCACTCAACGCCGTCACCTCTTCCAGCCCCTCAACGCCGTCACCTCTTCCAGCCCCTCAACGCCGTCACCTCTTCCAGCCCTCAACGCCGTCACCCCCTTCCAGTCCTCAACGCCGTCACCTCCTTCCAGCCCTCAACGCCGTCACCCCTTCCAGTCCCTCAACGCCGTCACCTCTTCCAGCCCTCAACGCCGTCACCCCCTTCCAGTCCTCAACGCCGTCACCTCTTCCAGCCCCTCAACGCCGTCACCCTTCCAGCCCTCAACGCCGTCACCTCTTCCAGCCCTCAACGCCGTCACCCCTTCCAGCCCTCAACGCCGTCACCCCTTCCAGCCCTCAACGCCGTCACCTCTTCCAGCCCTCAACGCCGTCTCCTCTTCCAGCCCTCAACGCCGTCACCCCTTCCAGCCCTCAACGCCGTCACCTCTTCCAGCCCTCAACGCCGTCACCTCTTCCAGCCCTCAACGCCGTCACCTCTTCCAGCCCTCAACGCCGTCACCTCTTCCAGCCCTCAACGCCGTCAACCCTTCCAGCCCTCAACGCCGTCAACCCTTCCAGCCCTCAACGCCGTCAACCCTTCCAGCCCTCAACGCCGTCAACCCTTCCAGCCCTCAACGCCGTCACCCCCTTCCAGCCCTCAATGTCGTTACCACTAGTTTCAACTTGTTCAAACTAATTACTTTTTTATTAAACCCGAGAACTTTGAGAATGTGCCACCATGTATAAACTAATAAAAAGTCAAGGTTCAGAAGTCCGCTAATGAGCCAGTTTAGCTACCCAACCATCCGGGGGAAATGTATGATATGCAAACTACGATCCAAGAACGGGGAAAAACGTCTCTCTCGCGGAAGTAAACTCACACGGGCGGGTCTTATGAATATGCTAATTGAAATTACAGCAACATTCGGCTACATTTTCTGAATCCAAAAGCCTAACTCTGTATCTACGATAGTGTCGCAAAAATTCAAAATTGGGGGTCTCTTACTTTTAGTACGCTAAATACAAGACGAGTTTCAAAGCGAGCTTCTAATTAAGAAAGGGTGAATGGAAAGTCTTGCCACTTCGTTGCTCAATGAAAATATTGAAAACGCAAATAGGTTATCAAAGTAGGCCTACTGAGAGTCATGAAAAGGCGAGATCAAAGTAGTCCTATAGCGATTCATGAAAACTTTTGATAACATAAAAGTAGGGGTACAGTAATTCGTGAAAACCTAAGAGAACATCAAAACAGGCACATAGTGGTTCGTGAAAATTGGAAGAGCATAAAAGTAAGCCAATTATTGTTCACGAAGCTGACTGCGCCTGTTGTCAGACAATGTAGAGGTCCATCAAGTGTCAGTGACCTATGTGCTTTCAGTGACAAGCAGTGTCTCTTTTTGTCTCCGTGCATTCGTGTTTGGGTTGACCGCATAGCCTATCGCGTCTTCTGTTTGCTACTGGCTGATGCCATTTATCAACTGGCAGTTTTATGGCTGTTGTATAATGCATACCGATTGCTGGCTACCGTCTGCTAAATGTCTTAAGTCTACTGGCAGCGTAAGAATGCATCGCCCTATATTGCTGGAAGGTCTTTGAAGCAATTCTCCTTAAGTGACTGGAAACTTGAAACAAAAACTGGAGAAAGAAATTTAGATTTTAGTCAAGGTTTAGTGACACGTGTTAAATGAACAAGTAGTCAGTGTGAGAGGATCAGAGCAGAGGGATATGACGAGTGGCATACCTTTTGTTCCTGATTTCTGTAACTCATCATAATAGTGCCTGACTTATTTACATCAGTGTCTGTAGATGACGCTCAGCTGGAGAGATACACAAGGACAACGAGGGTGTTGCAAGACTTGACCAAACTACAGGCTAGTGAAGTCACTGTCTGGGCCAAGTAATACACTGTTATGAGAATGAAGGAAGAAGAAAACCAGAAGCATTATATAAACTTGAGAGGCAACTAGAAAACTTTATACAAAAATGAATGGAAAGATCAAGGGGGTGGACATCACGCCGAACTTCGCATCAAAAGAGCAAATTAACAGGAAAATAGATAGGCAACTTATGCAGCAGAATTTTTTTTTTTCGGAAAACAAGAACTTCCTCAGAATATTATGAAGAGCCAAGTGTTGTAGTATGAGGCGCCGACATGAAACTCTCATCTTATGGCATACAAAAAAGAAAAAGTTATTCAGAGCTATGACAAAAGACTGGTACACAATTATAAAGCACTATATATAGAAATAATCTGTGCTAAGAAAAATAACAACGTACGCACTGGCGAAGAGAAGCCATAATATAGACTCTTAAGTTATTATTGAGGAAGTGTAAGACAGATTGTTAAACAAAATACAGAACGAGAGATCGCGGGGAGAAACTGAAATCGCTATGAACTAGAGCGACGTATGAAAGAACTTAATATAAAATAAAACGAAAATAAAACCGATTTGAGGGCTCAAGGGCCGTCTGGCTAAAGGCGTACTGTTATTCCGTTTACCGTAATAGCAGTACGTCAAGAGAGAAATAGAAATGATGTAGTACATCATGATAAAATATTTTATCTACTAGTACTAATAAAAATTTCTTACCTAACAATAACAAAACACAAAAACAAACTTGCATGCAAATGAATAATTTACTAGGTCCCTCTGTCAAAACTTTTCACTCTCGAATTTCAGCACAGTTCTATATCCTCTCAGCTTAAAAATTGATGCTAACAAAAACCCATGAATTACAAAATTAATTCTCAGAATTTTCATCAGTTGGAAAAATCTCACACGTCAATATCACACAGTGCAACGTCAACAGTGTACAGTAGCCTACTACAAGGTTCATGATGTCCGACAGCTTACCAGTAAACATTATGTTGCACGACACCTACCAACACCACAATGCGCAACACCAACAGTGTACTATAGCCTACCAATAAACTCCATCACTTCAACAATCTTCACTTCCCACAACCATCAATTAGCAAGCTGGACGGACGCGAGGATACGCACGAATGCGCCAATAATCACATATTCATGTAAACTTTCCCCATTTTCCCCTCCAACTCACAAACTCGAGTCAGTACTCATTATCATTGTCCTGGCATTAGGGGACAAGGCTCTTGACCGACTGGCAGGGGACGAACCAAATCTTGATGGCGTAGCAACCACGCTCAGGTTCACTAACCTGCTTTGGTCGTTCCAATCAGATGGTATTTGAAGTTAGCTTCAATAGACATCCTCTCAGAGACTAGGATCCTGACGATTGGTATGGGAACTAGCCAGGTTCTAATACATCACAAACATCACTACATACTTTATCCGACGGGACATGATGACGTTCTTAGTGTGTTGTGTTTACATCCGCCAACATGAGGATTGTCCCAGTCAGCTTCACAGCACAAAGGACCATCTCTTTGAGCCTTTGTGTTGTAAACTTATTTGGCGAGTCTTGAGTATTTCCCCCTTCGAGGGATTTTTCCCATTTTGGGTTTAGATAGGGTTTGGGTGGGATTAGAAGTACTTTCCCACAAAGTTCTCTATAGTCCTTAGGACCAAACACGCACAAGCACTTCATGCCATTTCTTTTGTGACAATATTCGCCATTTATACAAGATGATCAACACCCTTAGGCGGGTCATGTGCACCTCCTACATCGAGAGGGGGGGGGGAGGGTATATACAGGGTGGCTTTCAAAATAGTGAACTGGGTACCCTTATGTCTAGGGAAGATTAGGTTGGGTTTGGGAATTCTGTCCTTCCAAAGTAACTGGGGAACACCAAAGTTATAACTGGGAATTAAGTCATTCCACTATAAAAGCTAAATTACTTTGCTCATTGTGTGAAATGTTTTGGGGGAGGGAAACAGTAATAGAGGAACAAGGCAGACTGGGTCTTATTAATTCGGGCGTTCGGGCAAAACGTAATTCGAGTGTTTCAGGCATTCTGCCCGAAGCACTATGCGTGTTAGTGGCTTTACAAGAATGTAAAAACATCAATGCTATGCACTCTCATAAACCCATTGTACCTTCTTGTATATAAATAAATAAATTGTCGCCTCCTTGCCTGTCACATGCACTTTATACATGTCTTAAGATAAACGGGACGACATAAGAACAGTAAACGTGAACAAATATACAGCGTTCTTTTAAGAGTAACTTGTCACCTTCGAGGGCCGGACTACAAACGATTGGCAAGGAGGCGAGCTAGGGGCCGGATTCATCGTATTACCTTGGTACTTATAAGCCTGTACAAACAACGGATTATTATTATTATATATATTATATATAAACAGTCCATCTTTCCTGAATACAAGCGAAACCTGAAACTTACCTTACATGCTGACGATTACTTCATTTTGCAGATACTGTATATAGTGTCTTGTCTGACCGCTCCTCTAATGTTACAGAAGTAGTCCACTTTTGGTCCAGCCAAGTAACGAGGTTTGATATACTTTACCCATTCTGTCCAATAAACATTTAACACGGTCGCCATCTGGCTACTGCGTGGTCCTCGTCATGGCCATTTATTTAATAGTAACGACACTTCGATTCTTAATCTCGTTCTTTCAATATTAGTTTTTTCTTGCATTTTTTGTTTTGCCCAGTTTAATTATTTGTTATATTGCCCGGTTGCAAAGGTCAAATCTTTCAGTTAAGATATGGTAGGCCTACTAATTTTGTCTTTTACATGTTTTTTTCTTCATAGTCAACAGTGCTGTCTCACATGTGCAACAACACGACAACATTGCACATAACTTGTTCCCACGACAGTACACAATAGTTATCCTGAATTATGGCTGGAACACGTCACTATATACACTTGTACAATTTAATGCATAAAAAATGTCAAACTCTGTTCCACTCGCTTATAACACAAGAATATCATACACAGTTGAAAAGTTAAATCATTTTCAATAGAGAATGCTAGGCCAGTATACATAGATTTCTATAGTATAGTTTTCTTATGCGAAATGGTGACAGTCATCTTGAATTTGGCATTAGGATGCCAAGATACTGGAGGAGATGACACGCACACACCCAAACGTGCTCACTACCCGCCGAGGAATGTCAACAAAGGGTCAATATAAAGTTCAAACTCAGCTGTTCCCTTGCATTACGAGACTTCGAAACACGACATTGTTTACGCAACATTTTTCACAGAATCATTCACATTTCGCGCAAAACAAACAAAACTGCTGTGTACGTCCATTGTGTGTATTGAACGTTCGTTTGCATTATGTGATATAGGAGTTAACTCTGCGTGAAGCTGGTTTATAAATAATTCTGTGACTCGAAGCCGAAATGATTCAACTTGTATAAGTTGTGTCATCGTTCTCGGGGGAGGGATGGGGTGGGCATTTATTAATATTTGTTTTACTTCTTTTTCACTATCCAACAAATTTAAGCACACACAAAAAATTGTCCAATGTTATTACAAATTGGCATTGAAATATTAAACTTGTGTTCTAAGCTTCAAGAGGAATTTAGACCTGCCTCCGGGTTTGGAACCGGCTGCCTGGCATTAACTGTATAACTAGTTTATCAGATTGAAACTTATTTAGTTAAATGAATTTGGAGTTCAGTTCCTGAGCCTATTATATACCGCTGTAGTCTTTTTCACCACCGCCCACGGGATGAGTATAGGATACATAATAAATTAACAAATTAAACTGTTTATTTGCAT